ATATACATATATGTGTGTGTGTGCGCGCGTGTGTTTGTGTGTGTGTAAATCTTGTTTTTATTATGTTGAACCCCTGACTAGGTTGTAACATCTATGAGTTGAGAAAAAAAAAATGATGAAGGGGAAAATTATCTTGTTATGTTGACTGAGAGTTTAGTCTTCAATTCAAGGCATTTTGGATTTAAGACTTTGGATATATGATGACATGTATTTATAATTAAATTTGCTGAAATTTTCACCAAAAAAAAAAAATAATAAAAAATAGTTTCAATAAAACTCCTTATGCACAATTTATCTATATTATTATAGTCTCTAAAATATTTTTCTTTTTTCAATAGCACACGACTAGACTATAATTATTAAAAATTTTATATAAAAGTACAAGAAGATATAAACAAAAGCTATATGGCAATCGAGCCATTCGATCTTCTGTAGCTACGTACAAGGTAGTTGAAAATAGCCGAGTCGAAAGTTCTCCCAGTTTGGTTTGTCTATTCAGCAAGTTGCTGTAGGTCTTGACACTTGGGGCAAACTGAAGTGATCAGATGTGAGCTGCATCAAATTTTTATGACTTATGTATGCAGTTAGATTTGGCATGAACGAGTTTTTTGGTCGTTCTCCCTCAGCTGATTAAGAAAAAATATTGTGTAGAATCCATAGGCATACAAACTTAATGCATAATAGTATAGTACACTGTTGCACACATATTGTATAATAACGTGCAACAATGTCACATATGGAATGTGTATGTATACGGACTCTATAGTAATATTCTCTTTTCAGTTACGATCAAATTAGCACGGTTGGTCATACTAAACTACATGTTAGTCTTTCTTTTCTCAATACTAAAAATATTTTATTATTTTATGATTATAATATTTTACATAATTTTGAGTTTAATTCAACGAAGGTTTCCAGTAAATTGAGCCTTTTGCTCAACCATCCAAGAAAACTAATAGAAGATGATTAAAAAATGGTTGCTCGGAACTCAAAATCTCCAATTGGAATATAATTTATGAATATCTTTTTTTGTTCGGGAATCAATAAAAGAATATTCCGCAGATAAACCCTGATGTTGCGTACCTTGCGTCCGGGCATTGATTGGCTTTATAATTTATGAATATCTTTTTTTGTTCGGGAATCACTAAAAGAATATTCCGCAGATAAATCCTGATGTTGCGTAACTTGCGTCCGGGCATTGGCTCAGGGAAGGCGCTGCGAAGCTTCCTTCGCTAGCTTAGTTTTGACTCGGGATAAAGAATCGTTTGGAGACCAGATCGTCATTTATTTATTTATTTATTTATATATTTTTAAGACCAGATCCTCATTTAATTTAATTTATTTTATTGTTAGGGTATAGAATAGGGAACAAGTGATGTAAGAATCCACGAGAGTAGGAGTGTAAAGGGAGCGCAGGAAAAGCTCATGTTCGATTTGTTAAAAGAGAGAATTGTTTATGTTCGGCACATCTGTTAAGCGAGTCGAATACAGAGTTGTTTTGACAATTCTAATCACGCAACTGTCGGTTGTTAAGGAAATGAGCAAGATTAAATCTTATTATTTATATTAAAATAATAATATGTGAAGCTTCCTAATCACGCCAGTTTTGACAACCTAATACGAGAATAGTTTTTAAGAAATTAAGATATGGCAAGCTCTAAGGTATTTACTCTATCAATATGTATAGCATTTGATCATGTAGAGCATTATTTGTAGTCCATCTCTTAAGTGAGAAGTATTTTAAGTGTTTATGTGGTTGACTGCTCGGCCTTCACAAATAGCCAAAGCAATAGTAAAACTGGTGCGTTACAATGGGCATATGAAAAATCCAAAATATTTTCAAGTTCAATTTTTTATTATTATATTTTACTGTAATTTTATTTTATTTTATTTGCAAGATTATGTTGATATTTTACTTTTGTGTATTTGGGAAAATGAAAAATTATTTTTTGTTAAAATTTAAATTTTTTTAATCATGAAGGAGTATTATATAAAATCATGAGATGAATAATTAAATACAAACTATTTATTAAGTTTTTTTCATATTTTTTAGGAGTTTTCACGGCATTAAAACCGACCCTTTTCTCCCCGCATGATTGGGGTCTCTCTCTCCTTCATTTTCTAGCTTTCTAATTTTATTTTAAAATCTATGCTAAACTTATTTATTGATTTCAAAGCTTAGAAGGGATTTTCATTTTGGAAAAGAAAATGAGTTTCTTTCTACACTTTGGCTTCCATTGAGGAGACAACGAAGCTTTATTGTGTTACAGTGAATGCCAAAGCTTACAAAAAATTTTACAATGTCTCCCGAACGTCTTACAAAATTGTTACATTAGAACGACAAATTTTTATCATTTTAGATCGCAAAGCGCCTTCTTCATTCTGCCATTGTGCTTTTCAAAGGAGCTTGCTTCAAATGGAGTCTGAATCTCTTGGGATGCTGGCAAATGAAGCTAGGAATTGCTGAGATTTTATATTCATTGCTTTGATGGTGATAGATTTGATTTATCTTTGTAATCTTAATTTTATTTTAATATTTAAATCTTATTCTAGCTTCTAGTTACATCTCTGCGTTTTCTTCTACAAAGCCCTAAGCTAAAGCCCCTTCTTGAGCTCCCGGCCATGATAAGAGTTTACTCGACTTAATATAGTCCCTTTGCTTCTTGGCCATCCTAAATTACTCAAAATATTTTTGTCAAAAAACGTTGAATCCAATCTACGCATATTTTCCTGCTAACTCCAAAAGGTTTTAAATTTTTTTTAATAAGCATAAGCACATCTTCTTAGGCGTAATATCATGCCAACATT